AACAAAAAAAGTTTTAATTACTTCCAGTTGCACAACACTCGTTAGCCAATAACAAGTATGCCATACTTGCTCAATCAAGCTCTGATATTTTCCAATACAATGATCCCCAACCGATCGCCACGCCCAAGTAGCAATGACATATTGTGAAATTGGTCAGGATGGGAGCATATTATACTAAAAAGTTTAATTCGGCTGACTTGGATACTAGACGCATAACATTAAACTTTAAAAAAAAAATCAAAATTCTCGTCGTTTTCCAGTAGCAAGCCAGTAGAGGATGCACGCAAAACGGGCTCATTTCCGCGTTTTCGCTTATCAATTCGCCGATTGACCCAATAAGTTTTTTGACGCTTTGAGTCGTTACTAGGCACCTATAGGCACCATCTAGGACCAGTGACAAAAAAATAAAAGTCAAAACCAGAAATTATGGCCCTAAACAAGTTCTGGCTGTAGTGGGCCCAAATTCCGACTGCTGGCGTATTTCGCCGATGACGCCAATAGTTTTTTCGGCACTTGGAGTCGTTAGTAGCGACCACTAGCTACCAACTAGAATGCCTGCAGGCATCAGCAGAGCCAAAACCTGAAATTATTGCTCTGCTCCAATTTTGGCCCTACTGCAGGCATGGACTCGCCGTGTATTTCACCAGCATCTCTGATGAATGCCTGGGCACTTGGAGTCGCTAGTAGGGACTACTACCTACCAACTAGAATGCCTGCAGGCATCAGCAGAGCCAAAACCTGAAATTATTGCTCTACCCCAGTTTTGGCCCCACTGCAGGATCTATGGACTCGCCGTGTATTTCACCAGCATCTCTGATGAATGCCTGGGCACTTGGAGTCGTTAGTAGGGACTACTACCTACCAACTAGAATGCCTGCAGGCATCAGCAGAGCCAAAACCTGAAATTATTGCTCTACTCCAATTTTGGCCCTACTGCAGGCATGGACTCGCCCTGTATTTCACCAAGAGCTCTGATAGATGTCCCGACACTTGGGAGTCGCTAGTAGGGACTACTACCTACCAACTAGAATGCCTGCAGGCATCAGCAGAGCCAAAACCTGAAATTATTGCTCTACTCCAATTTTGGCCCTACTGCAGACCCTACTGCTAAGTACTTGCAGAGAATCCTGGTACCCACCCTGATGCTTTCATCAGCACGACTACACTTGTTGAAATACAACAAGTAGTAGTAGCACTGATGAAAGCTCCTTGGTCCGTGTATAGAGTCGCCTGGCCAAGTATTGAACACTTGGCCGATTTGAGCTTGTACTATGACGACTTAGGCTACCTTGCGAGAAACCAATGACTTGTCGAAACTCTTACGTGACCTAGACGCCTTGCGCACCTTTATAGCAAAGCCGCCTAGCATTGTTAATACAATGCTTGATGGGCTAGATTGCTTTGTTTGATTGTTGATGGGGGGAGAAATGTTCATTGCTGAACAAATCGTAAAACACAAGCTAAATCTCAGCAGATCGTAGTGCAAAGACTACTCTCATGCTTACAACACTTGGTTTTGTATTTAAGTCGTCTACAAAGGATTTATCTTTCCCAATATTTGAAATTGTGTTTCAGCATACTCTCAGCCTGCCATATTTGAGGGCCGACCGAGTGCGTTGCAATTTTATGATGTTGGATACACAGGAGTGTACCTATAGTTATTCTTTGTACATCAGGAAAGGTGATTATCGTCTATTCCAGCATGGATTCTGACTTAGAGGCGTTCAGCCATAATCCTACAGATGGTAGCTTCGCAGCACTAGCTTTTCAGCTAACTGCATTTACCAATTATCTGAACCGACGGTTCCTCTCGTACTTGATCGGATTACTGTTTAGACAACGAACTCATCAGTAGGGTAAAACTAACCTGTCTCACGACGGTCTAAACCCAGCTCACGTTCCCTATTAGTGGGTGAACAATCCAACAATTGGCGAATTCTACTTCGCAATGATAGGAAGAGCCGACATCGAAGAATCAAAAAGCAACGTCGCTATGAACGCTTGGCTGCCACAAGCCAGTTATCCCTGTGGTAACTTTTCTGACACCTCTAGCTTAAAATTCAAAAGAACTAAAGGATCGAGAGGCCACGCTTTCACGGTTTGTATTCATACTGAAAATCAAAATCAAGTGAGCTTTTACCCTTTTGTTCTACATGAGATTTCTGTTCTCATTGAGCTCACCTTAGGACACCTGTGTTATCATTTAACAGATGTGCCGCCCCAGCCAAACTCCCCACCTGACGATGTCTTCCACGTAGCTCACCCGGAGTAAACCCCAAGCTTCGATCTAGAACTAGGCACCCGCGAGGATGGCTAGGCGCTACATAATGGGATAAGTAAAACAACATTAGAAGTAGTGGTATTTCACTTGCGCCGAAGCTCCCACTTATTCTACACCTCCTAAGTCATTTCACAACGTCAGACTAGAGTCAAGCTCAACAGGGTCTTCTTTCCCCGCTGATTTTTCCAAGCCCGTTCCCTTGGCTGTGGGTTCGCTAGACAGTAGATAGGGACAGTGGGAATCTCATTAATCCATTCATGCGCGTCACTAGTTAGATGACGAGGCATTTGGCTACCTTAAGAGAGTCATAGTTACTCCCGCCGTTTACCCGCGCTTGGTTGAATCTCTTCACTTTGACATTCAGAGCACTGGGCAGAAATCACATTGTGTCAACACCGTCTCCGGCCATCACAATGCTTTGTTTTA